CACTGCCAGAGGGCAGGGAGAGATGGGATATTGGGAAGGAATTGTTGGCTGTGAGGGTGGGGAGGCCTGGCACAGGTTGCCAGAGATGTTGTGGCTGCCCCTGGATCCCTGGAAGTGTCCAAGGCCAGGTTGGACAGAGCTTGGAGCAACCTGGGCTAGTGGAAGGTGTCCCTGCCCATGGCAGGGGGTGGAACGAGATGAGCTTTAAGGTCCCTTCCCACCCAAACCATTCCATGATTCGACAAGATGGTGCTGCTGCTTCTCCAGGAGCTGGGGTGGGATGTTGGAAGCTCTGGTTTGGTCTGACTGGGGTGCAGGCACAGCAGGGTTAAGCCAGCTCAGCTCCCCACACAGGTACCAGCTGCCTCGCCTGGACTTTGGTCCTGCCTGGTGCCCAGTGCCAAGGAAACCAGGGGCTGACTGTGGGCACAGAGCTGACCCTGGGGCCTCAGGAGCCGTCTGTGTGCAGAGCTGGGGCCAGACCTGCCCTTCTGCCTGGGATGAGCGAGTGGAACGGCTGAGACACAGCAGGGCACACACCCCTGCTCTCCATGGCCCCATGGGGAGTGGGAGGCTGGATGGGGGCTGGAAAGCCTCCCCTACATCCCCAGTGCTTCCCATGTGGAGGGAGCCACCCGTTCCCCACCTTAGCTCCAGTGTTTGCTTTTCCAGCTCCCGGCAGGATCCGGCTTTGAGGCAGAGCCAGGCTTGTTTGGAGCTGTTTCCAAGCCACAAAGCCCTGGCCGGTCTCCTGTTCCCCCATGCTGGTGCAGCCCTGGCTGCCATCCCAGCTGGCATCCCTGCATCCCAGGGGTGCAGGGACTCATCCCCTTGTTTGGGAAGCAGCAGGGGACCAGCCTGTGGCCGTGGTGCTGGCCTGGCTCCCATCTTGCCCCTGGAGCCGCTTTGTTTCCCACTGCTCCATGATTTTCCCGTGATGGCTGTGTCTCTTCCCGCAGATCCGGCTGCGGTGCCAGAAGGGGATCCCGCCCTCTCTGCGGGGCCGTGCCTGGCAGTACCTCTCCGGGAGCAAGGTTAAGTTGGAGCAGAACATGGGCAAGTTTGATGTGAGTCCTTGCAGGGGACCCTCCTGCACCACCAGGGAGCAGGACAGTGCTGGGGTGGCTCCTGTTCCCTCCATGGCTGGGGTCTCTGTTGGGATCCCAGACAACTCGGGGGAGTGTCGGGGGTGTTGCTCATCCCAATCCTCTCCTCCCCAGGAACTGGATCTCCTCACGGGAGAGCCCAAGTGGCTGGATGTGATCGAGCGGGATCTCCACCGGCAGTTCCCCTTCCATGAGATGTTCGTCTCACGTGGAGGCCACGGGTACGTGGAGCTCCTGTGTGTCCAGTCCTTGTCAGCCATGGGCTGGGCACTGTCTGCCTCAGCTCATGCACCCACACTCGTGCCCCTTGTGTCCCCGTGTCACCCCACAGTCCTTACACATCCAGTCACAGAGCATCCAGGCATGGCCTGAAAACAGGGTGGCTTCCCAGGAGCTCCCTGTGTGGGGCACAACCCTTGGCACTGGTTCTGACACCCGGTGAGGTGGGAGTTGCCACAGCAGGAGGGCAAAGGGAGGAGGTGACCTGCTGTGGCCTCTGTTTCACCAGGAAAATGCTGTTCCTAGTGTGTCTGGGAGCGTCTGTGCCTCTGTGCTTGCAGCCGGGTCGTTTCCCATCCATGGCTCACCGTGAGCCAGCATCCCTGGGGATGGTTGACTCTTGGATCCAGGGCAGGTGTAGCCTCTGTGGGCAGAGCTTCCCAGAGTACCACCCTGGTTGTTGTGTCCCAGTGCCCTGGGTTTGTGTGCAAAAGGGATCCCAGCCGGGGTCTGAGCCAGGCTCGTGCCTGGCATCCACGGGGAAGGCTGCTGGGCCACATCCGTGCCCTGTGCCCAGCTCCCCGTGCCCGGGGTGTCTCCGCAGGCAGCAGGACCTGTTCCGGGTGCTGAAGGCGTACACGCTGTACCGCCCGGAGGAGGGATATTGCCAGGCCCAGGCGCCCATCGCCGCCGTCCTGCTCATGCACATGCCGGCCGAGGTACGGGCACGCGGCCGGGGCAGAGCTGGGACAGCTGGGAGGGCGGGGGTCCCTCTGCAGGGTGCTCAGCTCCTGGCACCTCAAAGCACCCCGGGGTGCTCTGCCTCCTCCCGCCCTCCCCTGCGGTCCCTGGGAGCAGGGAGGGGCCGCAGGGATGTCCCCTGGCTGCTCACTGCTGTCCCTTGGCTTGCAGCAAGCGTTCTGGTGCCTGGTGCAGATCTGTGAGAAGTACCTCCCTGGCTACTACAGTGAGAAGCTGGTGAGTAAAGGGCTCAGGGTGTCTTTGGCAATGGCAGGGACCTGCAGAGTGCTGCACCGGGTTTGGAACAATCCTTGGTATCCACACAGTCTGCGGGATGAAGGGAAGGAGAGCAGCCCTGGGGAGAAGGATTTTGGGGTGCCGGTGGGTGAGAGGCTGGACATGCCCCCTCAGCTGAGACCCCCCTGCAGAGCTGCCTCCAGCCCTGGGAACAGCACAGGAAGGATGTGGAGCTGCTGGAGAGAGTCCAGAGGAGGCCACGGAGATGCTCCCAGGGCTGGAGCCCCTCTGCTCTGGAGCCAGGCTGGGAGAGCTGGG